TCCCCAACAACAACAATATTCTTACCTTCCTTAATGTCTTTCGTTGTGACGTTCCCAGTAGTCGACTCACATTCGTCGGGTAGCACTGAGAATGTATTAGATGTTTCCACAACAGTTTCCACGGCAGTCTCTTTCTTCTTCACCGTTTCTACCTTTCCATTCGTCTTCTTGATCATCAACTTCGTTCCCTGCTGTCCAGCCACTGTCTAGTTTCCCTTCTTGACCTGAGGACTCAAAACAGGAGGACTACTACGAATCTTCTTGTTTTCCTCGGTCAGTCGCCGAATTTCCATCTTCGCCATCCTCAATTCTTCCTTAAGCTGTTGGTAAAGTTGCTCGATGGAGGGCATCTTGCTTCAATTCGTAGAGAGCGCGCAAACAGGTCTTCACAGAGCTAAGTACACGTTCAGTGGTGTCTGTCGTTCAGTGGTGTCTATCATTCAGTGGTGTTTGTCTTTCAGTGATGTCTGTCGTTCAGTGGTGTCTGTCGTTGAGTGGTGTCTGTCGTTCAGTGGTATCTATCATTCAGTGGTGGCTCTCGTTCAGTGGTGTGTCGTTCAGTGGTGTCTATCGTTCAGTGGTGTCTGTCGTTCAGTGGTGTCTGTCGGTCAGTGGTGGCTGTCGTTCAGTGGTGTCTCGTTCAGTGGTGGCTGTCGTTCAGTAGTGGCTGTCATTCAGTGGTGGCTGTCGTTCAGTGGTGGCTATCGTTCAGTTGTGGCTGTCGTTCAGTGGTGTCTGTCGTTCAGTGGTGGCTGTCGTTCAGTGATGTCTCTCGTTCAGTAGTGTCTATCGTTCAATGGTGAATGTCGTTCAGTGGTGTCTATCATTCAGTGGTGTCTGTCGTTCAGTGGTGGCTGTCGTTCTCTGGTGTCTGTCGTTCAGTGGTGGCTGTCGTTCAGTGGTGCCTATCGTTGAGTGGTGTCTGTCGTTCAGTGGTGTCTATCGTTCAGTGGTGACTGTCGTTCAGTGGTGTGTCCTTCAGTGGTATCTGTAATTCAGTGGGGGCTATCGTTCAGCGGTGCCTGTCGTTCAGTGATGTCTGTCGTTCAGTGGTGTCTGTCGTTCAGTGGTGCCTGTCTTACAGTGATATCTGTCGCTCAGTGGTGGCTGTCGTCCAGTGGTATCTGTCGTTCAGTGGTGCTTGTCTTTCAATGATGCCTGTTTTTCAGTGATGTCTGTCGTTCAGTGGCATCTATCGTTCAGTGGTGTCTAGTTCAGTGGTGTCTGTCGTTCAGTGATGTCTGTCATTCAGTGGTGTCTGTCGTTCAGTGGTGTCTAGTTCTGTAGTGGCTGTCGTTCAGTGATGTCTGTCGTTCAGTGGTGGCTGTCGTTCAGTGGTGGCTGTCATTCAGTGGTGTCTGTCGTTCAATGGTGTCTGTCGTTCAGTGGTGGCTGTCGTTCAGTGGTGGCTGTCGTTCAGTGGTGTGTGTCGTTCAATGGTGTCTGTCGTTGAATGATGTCTGTCAATCAGTTGTGTCTGTCGTTCAGTGGTGGCTGTCGTTCAGAGCTGTCTGTCGTTCATTGGTGGCTGTCGTTCAGTGGTGGATATCGTTCAGTGGTGGCTGTCGTTCAGTGGTGTCTGTCGTTCAGTGGTGGTTGTCGTTCAGTGATGTCTCTCGTTCAGTGGTGTCTATCGTTCAATGGTGAATGTCGTTCAGTTGTGTTTATCATTCAGTGATGTCTGTCGTTCAGTGGTGGCTGTCGTTCAGTGTTGTCTGTCGTTCAATGGTTGCTGTCGTTCAGTGGTACCTATCGTTCAGTGGTGTCTGTCGTTCACTGGTGTCTATCGTTCAGTGATGGCTGTTGTTCAGTGGTTTGTCGTTCAGTGGTATCTGTAGTTCATTGATGTCTGTCGTTCAGTGGTTCCTGTCTTACAGTGGTATCTGTCGTTCAGTGGTGCCTGTCTTTCAATGATGCCTATCTTTCAGTGATGTCTGTCGTTCAGTGGTGTCTGTCGTTCAGTGGTGTCTAGTTCAGTGGTGTCTGTCGTTCAGTGATGTCTGTCATTCAGTGGTGTCTGTCGTTCAGTGGTATTTGTCGTTCGGTGGTGTCTAGTTCAGTGGTGTCTCTCGTTCAGTGATGTCTGTCGTTCAGTGGTGTCTATCGTTCAGTGGTAGCTGTCGTTCAGTGGTTTGTCGTTAAGTGGTATCTGTAGTTCAGTGGGGGCTATCGTTCAGTGGTGCCTGTCGTTCAGTGATGTCTGTCGTTCATTGGTGTCTGTCGTTCAGTGGTGCCTTTCTTACAGTGATATATGTCGCTCAGTGGCGTCTGTCGTTCAGTGATGTCTGTCGTTCAGTGGTGTCTTTTCGTTCAGTGGTGTCTGTCGTTCAGTGGTGTCTATCGTTCATTGGTGGCTGTCGTTCGGTGGTATCTCTCGTTCAGTGGTGTCTGTCGTCCAGTGATGTCTGTCGTTCAGTGGTGTCTCTCGTTCAGTTTTATTTGTCTTTCAGTGATGTCTGTCGTTCGGTGTTGCCTGTCTTTCAATGATGTCTGTCGTTCAGTGGTGGCTGTCGTTCAGTGATGTCTGTCGTTCAGTGATGTCTGTCGTTCTGTGGTGTCTGTCGCTCAGTGGTGATTGTCGTTCAGTGTGTGATGTAGTCCAGCTGGGCTTGTGAGGTCTCTGGGGAGACCTAATTTAACCAATTATATGGTCACACCTTGCCTTGGCAAACGTTTGTAGCCACGCCCACGTCTGAGGTCTTTTGTTCTTGATGCCTCAGACCTAGGCGTCAGGTCGTACACGTGGTTGTGGAGGGTGCTTGGACCACCATAAAAGCCCAAGGAAGAGCATAATCAGGAGATTCGAGCGGAGCTGCTGCTGGGGTGCAGAGCTCCTGAGCAGAGACTTCGAGCGGAGCTGCTGCTGGGGTGCAGGGCTCGGGAGAAGGCTGCTGAAGTCTCTGGAGGAGACTGTTGGAGGCATTGGGCTGAGTACTGGCTTGGCGCAGTACTCGTGCTGTGTAGGTCTTGGGACCTGTGGCTTAGTTCCTGTAGTGAACTGTCCTCTGTACTATATTGTAAGTTATATTCTGTTTCGCCAAGCTAATTGTATTCCCTGTCTCACTGCTTATACATACCATCCCATTTATCTAAACCACAATAATGTTCTCCTGTTCCCAAATATATTATTGTACAAAGACTTAATAATAAACTGTGTTTGAGTAGAATAGTAATATTCACTGCCCACCGTTATTTATTCTTTTTTCCTATATTTTATTATGTTTATATATGAGTGAAGAATGGGCGAGGCATATGTTAGTGAGTAGTGTAGAGTTAATGAGAGTGTCGTGGTGGTCACCACTGACCTGTCATTATCTACCTACCTCACTCCTACCACCTCGCCTGTCCCCTACCTACTGACTCCCCCCGCTTACTCCCATATTCCCCACTTATAACCTATTCAATCATTACCCCCCTACATGACAAGTGGTGTCTGTCGTTCAGTGGTGACTGTCGTTCAGAGGGGCTGTCGTTTGGTGGTGCCTGTCTTTCAGTGATGTCTGTCGTTGATAGGTGACTGTCGTTCAGTGGTGGCCCTAGTTTAGTGGTGGCTGTCGTTCAGTGGTGCTTGTCGTTCAGTTGTGGCTATCGTTCAGTGGTGGCTGTCGTTCAGTTGTGCCTGTCTTTCAATGATGTCTGTCGTTCAGTGGTGTCTGTCGTTCAGTGGTGTCTGTCGCTCAGTGGTGTCTGTTGTTCAGTGGTGTCTGTCGTTCAGTGGTGCCAGTTTTTCTGTGACGTCTGTCGTTCAGTGGAATCTGTCGTTCAGTGGTGTCTGTCGTTCAATGATGTCTGTCATTCAGTGGCGTCTGTCGTTCAGTGGTGGCTATCGTTCAGTGGTGTCTGTCGTTCAGTGGTGCCTGTTTTTCTGTGACGTCTGTCGTTCAGTGGTGGCTATCGTTCAGTGGTGTCTGTCGTTCAGTGGTGCCAGTTTTTCTGTGACGTCTGTCGTTCAGTGGTGGCTATCGTTCAGTGGTGTCTGTCGTTCAGTGATGCCTGTCATTCAGTGGCGTCTGTCGTTCAGTGGTGGCTATCGTTCAGTGGTGGCTGTCGTTCAGTGGGGGCTATTGTTTAGTGGTGGCTGTCGTTCAATGGTGTCTGTCGTTCAGTGGTGGCTGTCGTTCAGTGGTGTCTAGTTCAGTGGTGGCTGTCGTTCAGTGGTGGCTGTCGTTCAGTGGTGGTTGTCGTTCAGTTGTGGCTATCGTTCAGTGGTGGCTGTCGTTCAGTGGCGCCAGTCGTTCAGTGGCGCCAGTCGTTCAGTGGCGCCTGTCGTTCAGTGCTGAAGTATGATCTGAGATCTCCTAACATTCTATAAATATGACATACATTACATACGACCTTACTGTCCGTCATCTCCCATACATATGAGAACCGCAGCATCACTTCTCTCTTCTTAATGCTTCAAGTTCAGCATCACTTGGAAAACTTCCCAGTTAATGCATAAATTAAATTATATAACGCTTTTACCCTAACATTAATTTAAACACAGTACGTACACCGAGATGCACACATGTGTGTGTAAAGCGTTAAACTCGTGTGGGTCATTCAGTATGGAAGAGGAGGCTTGCTCTTGGGTTAAATAATATTCTCACAGCCAATCTTTCCTTCCTATGTTCGCGGAGCTGTGAATTAGTTATAGAGTAATTAAACTTAATTGCTGTTGTGAAAGAAAAAATGTATAAAAATGTATAAAAATGTATAAAAACGAAAATAGGCTCTAAAAGCGTAAACAGGAAACCTATTAGTCTTACGTATCGTAATTATCACAAATTTTGAAATTCTGAGACAAAGTGTCTTGTCTCGTTTACTTGGTACACCAAATAAATGTGATCCTGGAACAAGGTAAAATGTGCATGATAACCTGTTGATTGGTTAATATAACCACAAAGTCAGCATGGTATTGTCTTCGTGATTGGTTGATTCTGACGCATTACGTCAGAGCGTCTCATATCATAAACGTCAAATTTAATTCCTCGATACTTTTGAAACACAATAAAACACTATTTTTTTTATGTAATTTATTTAAGCCTGATTCCATTCATGTTAATTAGAAAAAAAATGTAAAATCAATAACAGTTTTAAGGCTACGTCAGTTAGTGTTACAATGTTGACAACATGTGAATGTGGAGGCAGACATGTTGTGGTGATGGCGTCAGGTGGTTGTCTAACCATTCTACCAGCTGGAAAATGGTGGCGGTAGTCAACATGGCGGCTTTAAATCTTTCCACGCTGAACAATGCAGATTCCTTCATTATTTTTCTTCTTCTGGCACTTGAGGCCCACACCACATCTCCCTTTGATGTCCCAAGGACCTCCACACACTTCCCCTGGTCCCTGGAAACACAAACAATGTTGTACAAGAATGGTATACAATACCGACAAGATGAAAACTGAGACATATGTGTAACATATCCAGATGTGAAACATCTAGGTATCTTTATAGTAGACGTTTCGCCATCCAGTGGCTTTATCATACAGCTTCTAGGACATAATTTGAAGACAGTAGAACTATATACAAAAGATGAGGTAATCAGTCCCTCAGCCTTGGAGTTGGTGTGAAGAGCACCGTAGTCGTGAAGATTCTGGAGCCTCTTTGCCTGTGCTCCAGATTCTTCACGACTACGGTGCTCTTCACTAACTCCAAGGCTGAGGGACTGATTACCTCATCTTTTGTATATAGTTCTACTGTCTTCACATTATGTCCTAGTATCTGTATTGATAAAGCCACTGGATGGCGAAGCGTCTACAATAAAGATACCCAGATGTTGCACATGTGTCTCAGTTTTCACGATGTTATTCAGATGTTTCATAGTCTTCCCAACACCGCTCACAACCTTAAATGATTCGATACCTACAACCATGAAGACGTGAGAGTGTTTCTCGACAAAGAACAGGAGTGGAATACAAACAGGGCTAAAGAAACATCAGAAATAAATACAATGATGATAGGGTAGAAACAGTTGTAGATTCACAAAAATATCCACAAGTGCCACGACATATGCTGCTCCACGAGCATAATAGCTACAAGTCTCCACGAGCATAATAGCTGCCCACACAGCTGCTCCACGAGCATAATAGCTGCCCAACAGCTGCTCCACGGCATAATAGTGCCCACACAGCTGCTCCACGAGCATAATAGCTGCCACAGCTGCTCCACGAGCATAATAGATGCCCACACAGCTGCTCCACGAGCATAATAGCTGCCCACAGCTGCTCCACGAGCATAATAGCTGCCCACACAGCTGCTCCACGAGCATAATAGCTGCCCACACAGCTGCTCCACGAGCATAATAGCTGCCCACACAGCTGCTCCACGAGCATAATAGCTGCCCACACAGCTGCTCCACGAGCATAATAGCTGCCCACACAGCTGCTCCACGAGCATAATAGCTGCCCACACAGCTGCTCCACGAGCATAATAGCTGCCCACACAGCTGCTCCACGAGCATAATAGCTGCCCACACAGCTGCTCCACGAGCATAATAGCTGCCCACACAGCTGCTCCACGAGCATAATAGCTGCCCACACAGCTGCTCCACGAGCATAATAGCTGCCCACACAGCTGCTCCACGAGCATAATAGCTGCCCACACAGCTGCTCCACGAGCATAATAGCTGCCCACACAGCTGCTCCACGAGCATAATAGCTGCCCACACAGCTGCTCCACGAGCATAATAGCTGCCCACACAGCTGCTCCACGAGCATAATAGCTGCCCACACAGCTGCTCCACGAGCATAATAGCTGCCCACACAGCTGCTCCACGAGCATAATAGCTGCCCACACAGCTGCTCCACGAGCATAATAGCTGCCCACACAGCTGCTCCACGAGCATAATAGCTGCCCACACAGCTGCTCCACGAGCATAATAGCTGCCCACACAGCTGCTCCACGAGCATAATAGCTGCCCACACAGCTGCTCCACGAGCATAATAGCTGCCCACACAGCTGCTCCACGAGCATAATAGCTGCCCACACAGCTGCTCCACGAGCATAATAGCTGCCCACACAGCTGCTCCACGAGCATAATAGCTGCCCACACAGCTGCTCCACGAGCATAATAGCTGCCCACACAGCTGCTCCACGAGCATAATAGCTGCCCACACAGCTGCTCCACGAGCATAATAGCTGCCCACACAGCTGCTCCACGAGCATAATAGCTGCCCACACAGCTGCTCCACGAGCATAATAGCTGCCCACACAGCTGCTCCACGAGCATAATAGCTGCCCACACAGCTGCTCCACGAGCATAATAGCTGCCCACACAGCTGCTCCACGAGCATAATAGCTGCCCACACAGCTGCTCCACGAGCATAATAGCTGCCCACACAGCTGCTCCACGAGCATAATAGCTGCCCACACAGCTGCTCCACGAGCATAATAGCTGCCCACACAGCTGCTCCACGAGCATAATAGCTGCCCACACAGCTGCTCCACGAGCATAATAGCTGCCCACACAGCTGCTCCACGAGCATAATAGCTGCCCACACAGCTGCTCCACGAGCATAATAGCTGCCCACACAGCTGCTCCACGAGCATAATAGCTGCCCACACAGCTGCTCCACGAGCATAATAGCTGCCCACACAGCTGCTCCACGAGCATAATAGCTGCCCACACAGCTGCTCCACGAGCATAATAGCTGCCCACACAGCTGCTCCACGAGCATAATAGCTGCCCACACAGCTGCTCCACGAGCATAATAGCTGCCCACACAGCTGCTCCACGAGCATAATAGCTGCCCACACAGCTGCTCCACGAGCATAATAGCTGCCCACACAGCTGCTCCACGAGCATAATAGCTGCCCACACAGCTGCTCCACGAGCATAATAGCTGCCCACACAGCTGCTCCACGAGCATAATAGCTGCCCACACAGCTGCTCCACGAGCATAATAGATGCCCACACAGCTGCTCCACGAGCATAATAGCTGCCCACACAGCTGCTCCACGAGCATAATAGCTGCCCACACAGCTGCTCCACGAGCATAATAGCTGCCCACACAGCTGCTCCACGAGCATAATAGCTGCTCCACGAGCATAATAGTATCCCTCGTCTCTCTCAATGATAAAAAGTCATTCTTTAAAAATGTCACGAGCATTTAAGCACGCCTGACTGTTTCTGTTTCAATATTTGCAGGAAAATATGACACCCTTGATAGTAAAGAGCCACTCACCTGGCGCAGACGCGACCCTTGATAATAGCCACTCACCTGGCCGCAGAAGTGACGCTTGATAATGAAGAGCCACTCACCTGAACGCAGACGTGACCCTTGATAATGAAGAGCCACTCACCTGAACGCAGACGTGACCCTTGATAATGAAGAGCCACTCACCTGAACGCAGACGTGACCCTTGATAATGAAGAGCCACTCACCTGAACGCAGACGTGACCCTTGATAATGAAGAGCCACTCACCTGAACGCAGACGTGACCCTTGATAATGAAGAGCCACTCACCTGAACGCAGACGTGACCCTTGATAATGAAGAGCCACTCACCTGAACGCAGACGTGACCCTTGATAATGAAGAGCCACTCACCTGAACGCAGACGTGACCCTTGATAATGAAGAGCCACTCACCTGAACGCAGACGTGACCCTTGATAATGAAGAGCCACTCACCTGAACGCAGACGTGACCCTTGATAATGAAGAGCCACTCACCTGAACGCAAACGTGACCCTTGATAATAAAGAGCCACTCACCTGGCGCAGACGCGACCCTTGATAATGAAGAGCCACTCACCTGGCGCAGACGCGACCCTTGATAATGAAGAGCCACTCACCTGGCCGCAGACGCGACCCTTGATAATAAAGAGCCACTCACCTGGCCGCAGACGCGACCCTTGATAATAAAGAGCCACTCACCTGGCCGCAGACGCGACCCTTGATAATGAAGAGCCACTCATCTGGCGCAGACGCCACCCTTGATAATAAAGAGCCACTCACCTGGCCGCAGACGCGACCTTGATAATGAAGAGCCACTCATCTGGCGCAGACGCCACCCTTGATAATAAAGAGCCACTCACCTGGCCGCAGACGCGACCCTTGATAATAAGAGCCACTCACCTGGCCGCAGACGCGACCCTTGATAATAAAGAGCCACTCACCTGGCCGCAGACGCGACCCTTGATAATGAAGAGCCACTCATCTGGCGCAGACGCCACCCTTGATAATAAAGAGCCACTCACCTGGCCGCAGACGCGACCCTTGATAATAAAGAGCCACTCACCTGGCGCAGACGCCACCCTTGATAATAAAGAGCCACTCACCTGGCCGCAGACGCGACCCTTGATAATAAAGAGCCACTCACCTGGCCGCAGACGCGACCCTTGATAATAAAGAGCCACTCACCTGGCCGCAGACGCGACCCTTGATAATAAAGAGCCACTCACCTGGCCGCAGACGCGACCCTTGATAATAAAGAGCCACTCACCTGGCCGCAGACGCGACCCTTGATAATAAAGAGCCACTCACCTGGCCGCAGACGCGACCCTTGATAATAAAGAGCCACTCACCTGGCCGCAGACGCGACCCTTGATAATAAAGAGCCACTCACCTGGCCGCAGACGCGACCCTTGATAATAGCCACTCACCTGGCCGCAGACGTCACAACAGTTGCAGGCGTCTTTGACCGTGCCATAGGTACAGTTGAGAGTACTGGGGTCCTGACACCACTCTGCAGTATCGCACACGCGACATTTCAGCCCCGAACAACTGAGGAATATAAACCAGTTACGTTAATGAATCGTGTTCTGGTGTTTCTAACTATATTAGTTGTATGAACAATCCTTGCAGACGGCTATGTGTTAGTACACTCCGGTAGAATATATAGAGATTTTATACTGACTTAAATATACTTAAATATACAAAAATATATATCGAGGTGACGGCATGACTATTTCTGGTTTTATGGCAAAGAACGATTCGTAATCCGTAAATTAAATATATATATATATATCTATATATATATATATGTCGTGCCGAATATGTAAAACTGGTCAATTAGCAAGAACTCATTTAAAATTAAGTCCTTTCTAAAATTTTCTCTTATACGTTTAAAGATATATTTTTTTCATTAATGTTAATGTAAAAGTTTTTAATTTTGCACCAAAAGAATATTAGAAAACTTACCTAACCTTATTATAACAAGAGCAATTTATTTTAACCTAACCCAACTGTATATATTTTAGGTTTGTTAACAGTAATTTAATACTAAACAAACACAGTGAAATATAATTTTTTCGTTAGCTTCGGAATGATTTTGGCGAAATTATTGCATACACAAATTTTCACTTGTCCTATATGGCAAGATGAGCGTTGCTATTTAAGCCAAGATATATATATAATATATATATATATATATATATATATATATATATATATATATATAATATATATATATATATATATATATATATATATATATATACTATAATCAACGATTTCACTGGAAAATAATCAAATCATTGTATAAGTCAAAAGCCACTAACCTGGCGACGGCGAGGGACAGAAGACAGAAGAGAGTGAAGGAGTTCATGCTGTGTGTGAGTGGCTGAGCGTAGCGAGTGATGCTGGAGGACTGACTGCACACGTCCACTGATTCCACTAGTTGTTGCCTCACTAACCTCTGTTTTGTGTAACGGATGCTCCACTGCCAGACAAGTACAGGAGCGAATATATATATATAATAACTTACCTGCAATTCATAATTAATTAACAGATATTATAATATTTTTAACACAATTGTAAAGTTAACCTTAATATGTTAGTTAACCCAACAAAACCAAGTAAATCAAAATAGCTGAATACTTTATTTCGGTTTTGGGGAAATTTAAAATACTGATATAATAATATTAGAACTTTCATTTTCATGACTGCATATGTGTGTTGGTAGTGTTAAGCGCATGACAAACTACTCGTGCAGCAATTTACCAGGTTCAGTGAGTGTTCTCTTGTTGCCAGTGACTCAATTCTATGGCATTGCAGGTTTGATTGACTGAATGTCATGCCACTAATGTGATGACGTATCTTGCAGACGCAACATTTGTCTTCTCTTATTCGGCAGCGGTGAGAGATGTGTAGTTAACAACTCCGTATTTCTCTTAAGTTGCGGTAAAGAGGTCGACAGATGGGACACAAGACCATAAGACTGGAAGAACACTGCTGCAGGCCTACTGGCCATGCCATGTATATGTCTAACCTTTATCAAAGCTACCCAAGAATTTGCTTCGGTATCTCAGGTACTGAAAATTAGACACATGTCCTACATCTGGGTATTTTTATTGTAGACGTTTCTGCCATCAATACAAATTCAAGGACATATTCAGAAGATGAGGCAATCAGTTTCTCAGTCTTTGAATTTGTGTAAAGAACACAGTAGTCGTGCAGAAACTCGAGCACAGGCAATGTTGTTGTTGCTGTAGATTCGCCGGTATAATCGGGCCTTTTCCAAGAGGTGGCCCGGCCTTGGCTCCCTGTCGTGGGAGTGTCTCAGACCAATGTTTGCCATAGGAGAAGGTACAAGTATCTCCTCATCTTCTGGGACCAGTTGTCCTCAGGCCTAGCCCCATTCCCCGCCCTCACGGGGCTCGGAGGGAGAAGCTAGGCAACTTGGGCTGCCACAAACCCCTCTCACACTGGGCTCGAAGGATGTGGCAGCTGCATAGCAGCAGACGATGTCAAGAAGTGCAAAGGTAGCAAGCACTACAGGATCCTTTTGGAGCCACACCCCAGCTTTGGGCCGAAGCCCGAGCGCTGGGGAAGCTCAAGAATGCCTACATCTGTGTGTTTGTGTTGCTACTGCTACTATCTAACATTGTCTGTTTGCAATTCTCCATAAGCCAGAACCAAAAAGGCTGGTGCTTATATTTGGCGTCAGGGTATAAGGGACGGGTAGAGACGAAGACATAGTCCATGGAAGGCGGGATTCCCATCTGGAAGTAGGCACACCCAGGGACGGGTTGTGAGTGAACCAAGAATTCTATGATATTGCAGTGTCTGGCAGGGTGTACATGAATGGTATACAAGAGACTCGTGATATCTGTGTGAAAGCCCCCTGGTCCAACCAGAAGTGCCGGAAGCTGATAGCAGCCCGCGGTGTGTGTGTATATATCCATTTTCACTTTCTTAAAACTGACTGCCCAGCACAGCAGTTCTAGTATTCTGAGGCGAGAGCAAATTGCGTCGTTGAAGTTCCCAGGTTAAGATAAGAAAGATAAGATTTCGTTCGGATTTTAACCCCGGAGGGTTAGCGACCAGATAAACCAGAGTGGCAGGCGTCATCGGGACTGTCTGTTTTATTTCCACTGGGGTCCTCAATCTTGTATCCAGTATGCGACCAAAACGCATTCGACTAACACCCGGGTGCCTACTTGCTGCTAGGTGAAGCAACAAACAGTTTTAAGGAAACAGTAACAGAACAACAATGTTTAGGGACCTCCTGTTCGCCCACGGGACTACAGTATATAAACCATTACGGCCCTATGCTGATTTTTTATTGTCTGATGAAGCCACTGTGGGGCGAACCATTTCCTCAATAAAGATTCCCATACGTTGCATGTGTCTCAATCTTCAATTTGTCCGAGATTGCTGAGTTGAATGTGGTGGCTGGCGAATTAAATAAGCAGACCGGCCGCGGGGTTGACTAGCTGGCGAGTTAAGAGATATGCAGGATAGTGTAAACTCCCGTAAACCAGACCATGGTTTATTAGCTATAAGTTACACCAGGCAAACACAAGTAGGGTGAGCCTAGGGCCATGACCAAACGTTAGGTGTGTACTCAGGGCAGCCGTCAAGAAAGATATTTAGATAAATTGAGATTAAACAGATGGGACGAGTGTGATAGCCTATTTTGTGACCTTCGGGAACCTGGTACGTGAACCAGCTCTGAACCACAACCAAACAGCCGAGCGCATAACAATTCACTATTACTGGATTTTAATTTTCTAAGAAACTTCTTAACTTTGTCTTCACATTCAATGTTATATGGAATTCTGTTTTCCTAATAAAATAACTCAGATTGAATAACACTAACATTATCTGTAACAGGGTAAGTAATAATAATATTTTTATCTGAGGATAAATTATTTAAGGTCATGGATTCCTCCTTAGTGAAAACTTTGTTAAAATTATTTAAGTCAGTATAAAACCTAAAAAAAAAAAAAAACAGTATGTTTAAGGGACTCTGGAAAATATAATCTTTAAGAATCAGTGAAGTCAAAATTTTTTAGTTGAAAATGAGATACAAAATCTTGTTTTTATTGTTTGAAAGACAATACTTAAGATCTTCATAAAGAATATTTGTCTTAGTAAAAGTCAATGTATTATTTGAATTGATAAAAATCATCTTTTGGGGTGTCGAATGATGATAAATGTCAACATCTAACTTACGTAATTTATAAGAATGTACAGGTTGATCTCTGGCTAAAGTTAAAAAAATAAGCAAATAATTATAATTAATAAAAGATATGTAACCCTTCAGCTGGGGCAAGATATGTTTATTCTCATGTGTGTTTTGAGATCGATGTTTCTTCTCATGAATTTCCCTATTCAAGAAACGACACTAATTTCACGTTTAAATCAGCACTTCGAGGGCTACCTTGAAGATGGCATCAAATATGATGCCCTTAACTAGTTCATATTAAGGCAAGGCTCCGCCTGGTACGACAAATGACCAAAGACTGCCCCAAGAAAACCCAGGACATGCAACAGAGGTATGGTATGGCATCTAAATCCCGTTTCCTTCCATCAGGAGACAAAGTCATGGCCCAGGATCCAGTGCCTGATCATACCCTGAGAGTGTACTATATTGGCTCTATGCTGGCGGTAGTAAAATGAAACTAATTTATGGTAACCTCTCTTGAGGCTGTTCTATAATTAAAAGATTTTATGAACATCACGCTCCTAAAAATGACTTTGTTTTCTGTTCCCCAAGACTCCAGTTCTGAGCCGGATGCACTAAAAGAAATTAGTGGGATGGAGATAATACTATCTAACTTAGAGTTATTAAAAGATCCACGACCACCAATGTCTTGGAGAACCGAGTCATAAATGGCAGCCACAATGCCCTACTGCAAACCTATTCTGACGCTCTTTTGTACAGTCTCAGACTGTCCAAAAGAACGCCAGGATAGGTTGGCTCTCATGTCGTAGATGTAGGCACAGCTAAATTGATCAAGCTCTCTCCTTACAGAGTTACTTCACTAAAGAAATTGGTGCTTGACCATGGGTTAGTGGAGTAATCTTCAAGTTTATGAGCTTCACCCTGCATCCATGGTCTGGACCACGGAGCTGAACTCTTCTCCAGGCTGAGGGATTGTCCACCTCAAATACTGTTTCTCCAAGGTTAACGGACTGCTTACATCATCTTTACTTTGCTGCTACTCCTGCTGTATTTGACTGAAGAAACCTACTGTGTAAGCGAAACGCTACAACAATAAAGATATTCAACTCTTGCTCATGTGTCTTACTCATCAACTTGTTTTTAGGTATCATCGAAGGACAAGGTAACATAGCACCTGAACGTCGAATATAACAGCCATCTAGAATTTCAAAGTTCCTAGAGATGAAAGATTTTTACTGTAAGTTTTGTAAACTTTTCCAGTATTGTAGTCTCTTTAACCACTGTTACTTGCAGGAAAACCCTGTTTAGGTGGTCAGCTAACTGTCAAGAAACTCGAACAAATTAAAAGGCTGCTTTGTGCAGCTCCCATTTATTCCCAGATTATTCACTTACCTTTCTCTTACTGGTTGATACCTGCGGTATGAGAGTTGGCGAAGTTCTTCAAGTTTCTGGAGGAAGGGAGTTGTCCACCCAGTGGCGTACCTCTCTCGTCTTCGAATAACATGTTCAATTTTCCACTATAATCTACCTTGTCCATAATTACTATCGCATTTTGCTTGGTCTGTTTCGTAAGGTGAAGTCCAGGATCTTTCCTTAAATCATGGCATAACTTAACAAATCTTTGAGGACAGTTGTGTTGTAGAGTTCTGAGCTCTACAACATCACTATGAACCACACAGTGATCCATAAATGAATAAAACGACACATTACCGTGACTGGAACAATACATAAATAACCCGCACATGGAACAAAACGTCGTCATAAGTTTTATGCTCCTGTGTGGGTTATTTGTGTATAACCACAAATGGGAGAAAACCAACGTGAGAGCGTGAGGACTTACTCTCCAAGATTATGTTAAACATTAAAATGGTATAAAATACCGACAGGTTGTTAGGTAAGACACATATGCAACAGTTAGGTATCTTTATTATGAAACGTTTCGCCTACACAGTAGGCTTCTTCAGTCAAGTACAGAAAAGTTGATAGAAGCAGAAGATACTTGAAGACGATGTAATCAGTCCATCACCCTTAAAGTTTTGAGGTGGTCAGTCCCTCAGTCTGGAGAAGAGCATTGTTCCATAGTATGAAACAATATTGTTTCATACTATGGAACAATGCTCTTCTCCAGACTGAGGGACTGACCACCTCAAAACTTTAAGGGTGATGGACTGATTACATCGTCTTCAAGTATCTTCTGCTTCTATCAACTTTTCTGTACTTGACTGAAGAAGCCTACTGTGTAGGCGAAACGTTTCATAATAAAGATACCTAACTGTTGCATATGTGTCTTACCTAACAAGATTATGTTAGCCTAGTATGGGCCAGTAGGCCTTCTGTAGTGTTCCTTCTTTCTTATCTTCTTATTTTCTAAATTAGTTAAGATTAGAGTGAGGGGTGTGTTTAATCTCTTTTTTCCTTTAGTATTGTTAAGTAGTAAGGATTTTTTTTTTGTTTAGTGAAGGGAAACATTGGATCTATATTAGCCTAATGTTTGGCATTTCATAGATAACGAGAGTTACAATGCATAAATTATATAGAAGGGGGAATAAAATGCGTGTGAAGAGTTATTTACAGTTTTTTATTTATACCATTTTTTTTTGCATTTTAAAACCCTCATTTCTGTTAAGATGTCACAGTCCTTGAAAGTTGCAACAACAGTATTCACACCACTGCAACTGCACTTGCTAAAATGTTGATCAAATATGAACCTGGAGGTTGTCATGGTGGCTGTATGGTTCACAGGTGGTTGTCTTGACAGCAAAGCCAGTGTACTAGCTGGGAGGTGGTGAAGACAGACGATGGCAGATGGCTCTCTGGCAGTAGCATTTTGAGCTGACTCACACACAGATGCCATCGCCAGATATTCTTTTCTTTATGCAGATGAGGGAAGTTCCACACTTGCCCAGGAGGTTCCACATGCCTCCACACTCCTGCCCCGGGCTCTGTAATACACGATAATATAAACGTGTTCCCTAACCTTCCAAACTTCTCTCCTCGCTCTGCAAACACAAGACGGCACGCACGTACACACACACACACACACACACACACACACACACACACACACACACATACATACACACACACACACACACACACACACACACACACACACACACACACACACACGTGATTACATAGTGGGAACACTTCACTCTGGAGGTCCCAAGGTGGTAATAGCAGTGATGTATAACCCACCACAGAACAGCAGGAGGCCAAGGCAAGAGTACGACGAGAGCAATAGAGCGATGGTTGACACACTGGCTAGAGTGGCCAGAAGAGCTCATGCATGCAGGGCAAAGCTCCTGATCATGGGTGACTTTAACCACAAGGAGATCGATTGGGAGAACTTGGACCCACATGGGGGCCAAGATACATGGAGGGCTAAGATGATGGAGGTGGTACTGGAGAACTTCATGTACCAACACGTAAGGGACACTACAAGAGAGAGAGGAGAGGATGAACCAGCAAGGCTGGACTTAGTATTCACCTTCAGTAGTGCAGATATCGAGGACATCACATATGAAAGACCCCTTGGGGCCAGTGACCATGTGGTTTTAAGCTTCGAATACACAGTAGAGCTACAAGTGAGGGAGAAGCAGGAAGGCCAGGACGAATGAAGCCAAACTACAAGAAAGGGGACTACACAGGAATGAGGAACTACCTGAACGGGGTTCAGTGGGACAGAGAACTGGCAGGGAAGCCAGTTAATGAGATGATGGAATATGTAGCAACAAAATGCAAGGAGGCTGAGGAGAGGTTTGTACCCAAGGGTAACAGGAGTAATGAAAAAGCCAGGATGAGCCCATGGTTTACCCAAAGGTGCAGGGAGGAAAAAACCAAGTGTGCTAGGGAATGGAAGAAATATAGAAGGCAAAGGACCCAGGAGAATAAGGAGAACAGTCGTAGAGCCAGAAACGAATATGCACAGATAAGAAGGGAGGCCCAAAGACAATATGAAAATGACATAGCAGCGAAAGCCAAATCTGACCCGAAACTGTTGTACAGCCACATCAGGAGGAAAACAACAGTCAAGGACCAGGTAATCAGGCTAAGGAAGGAAGGAGGAGAGACAACAGGAAATGACCGTGAAGTATGTGAAGAACTCAACAAGAGATTCAAAGAAGTGTTCACAGAGGAGACAGAAGGGACTCCAGAAAGAGGGAGAGGTGGGGCACACCACCAAGTGCTGGACACAGTGCACACAACCGAGGAAGAAGTGAAGAGGCTTCTGAGTGAGCTAGATACCTCAAAGGCAATGGGGCCAGATAACATCTCCCCATGGGTATTGAGAGAGGGAGCAGAGGCGCTATGTGTACCCCTAACAACAATATTCAATACATCTATCGAAACAGGGAGATTGCCTGAGGCATGGAAGACAGCAAATGTAGTCCCAATCTTTAAAAAAGGAGACAGACATGAAGCATTAAACTACAGACCAGTGTCACTGACATGTATAGTATGCAAAATCATGGAGAAGATTATCAGGAGAAGAGTGGTGGAACACCTAGAAAGGAATGATCTCATCAACAGCAGCCAGCATGGTTTCAGGGAGGGGAAATCCTGTGTCACAAACCTACTGGAGTTCTATGACATGGTGACAGCAGTAAGACAAGAGAGAGAGGGGTGGGTGGATTGCATTTTCTTGGACTGCAAGAAGGCGTTTGACACAGTTCCACACAAGAGATTGGTGCAAAAACTGGAGGACCAAGCAGGGATAACAGGGAAGGCACTACAATGGATCAGGGAATACTTGTCAGGAAGACAGCAGCGAGTCATGGTACGTGGCGAGGTGTCAGAGTGGGCACCTGTGACCAGCGGGGTCCCGCAGGGGTCAGTCCTAGGACCAGTGCTGTTTCTGGTATTTGTGAACGACATGACGGAAAGAATAGACTCTGAGGTGTCCCTGTTTGCAGATGACGTGAAGTTGATGAGAAGAATACACTCGATCGAAGACCAGGCAGAACTACAAAGGGATCTGGACAGGCTGCAGACCTGGTCCAGCAATTGGCTCCTGGAGTTCAATCCCACCAAGTGCAAAGTCATGAAGATTGGGGAAGGGCAAAGAAGGCCGCAGACGGAGTACAGTCTAGGGGGTCAGAGACTACAAACCTCACTCAAGGAAAAAGATCTTGGGGTGAGTATAACACCAGGCACATCTCCTGAAGCGCACATCAACCAAATAACTGCTGCAGCATATGGGCGCCTAGCAAACCTCAGAACAGCATTCCGACATCTTAATAAGGAATCGTTCAGGACCCTGTACACCGTATACGTTAGGCCCATATTGGAGTATGCGGCACCAGTTTGGAACCCACACCTAGCCAAGCACGTAAAGAAACTAGAGAAAGTGCAAAGGTTTGCAACAAGACTAGTTCCAGAGCTAAGAGGTATGTCCTACGAGGAGTGGTTAAGGGAAATCAACCTGACGACACTGGAGGACAGGAAAGATAGGGGGGACATGATAACGACATACAAAATACTGAGCGGAATTGACAAGGTGGACAAAGACAGGATGTTCCAGAGATTGGACACAGTAACAAGGGGACACAGTTGGAAGTTGAAGACACAGATGAATCACAGGGATGTTAGGAAGTATTTCTTCAGCCACAGAATAGTCAGTAAGTGGAATAGTTTGGGAAGCGATGTAGTGGAGGCAGGATCCATACATAGCTTTAAGCAGAGGTATGATAAAGCTCACGGTTCAGGGAGAGTGATCTAGTAGTGACCAGTGAAGAGGCGGGGCCAGGAGCTTGGACTCGACCCCTGCAACCTCAACTAGGTGAGTACAACTAGGTGAGTACACATACAAGAAACTATAAAGTATGTGAAGAACTAAACACGACATTTAAGGAAGTATTTTCAGTGGGGACAGACTGGACTACAGTAAACTGGAATGGTAGCGTACACTAACAGGTGCTGCCAGGTGTACTAGACACCTCAAAGGCGGTGCGGCCGGACAACATCTTTCCATGGGTCCTGAGAGAGGGAGCAGAGGCGGTGTGTGTGTGTTGCTAACAACAATCTTCAACACATCTATCGAAACAGGACAACTGCTGAGATGTGGTAGAGAGTAAATGTAGTCCCTATCTTTAAGAAAGGAGACAGGCAGTGTCACTGACCACCCCTTGTTTATGCACATGTACAGTGCTAGTCATGGCATTATGCCGCCCCTCCCCCACACACGTACCAAAACATAAACACATACCATGAAAGATTATAATATATATATTTGCACACTTACTGAGGTTTTAACATTTGGTGCTGCGTTCTTTTACGCTTAATCACGTCCCTCAGCCGTGTACGAAGACTCTCACACAAATTTTTGAGGGTTTGGGGAGGTATAATATTCCATGCCTCATGAAGAGCAGCCTCCAGCTGCAGGATGGAACTGATATCCTTGTCCATTAAACTTCGTTTCACTATTGACCAGAGGTTCTCAATAGGGTTTAGGTCCGGGGAATTGCCTGGCCAGTCATTAAAGAACCTCACTTCACAGTCCTTAAGACACTGAACTATAGATTTGGCGGTATAACACGGTGTACCATCCTGCATAAAAACCGTAGCCCCACACTTGTCTAACACCTCAGGTAAATTGTCACACAATAACTCCAGGTAATTATACTGGTTCATATACTGGTTTTTGGAAAGCACAGTGAGTTCACCAACACTCTGAGCACTGAAACACCCTCAAACCATGAGCGAGTCTGGGTGTTTGGTGTAGCGTGGGTCTAGCGGGTCACTACCTCTGGGCTGGTACACGTCCCCCCACGGTTACAGGTGACGGTGAAGGTTGATCCATCACTCCAAAGTACTTCAGACCACTGTTGAGGATTCCAGTGAAGATATTTCTTTGCATAATCCAGCCTACGTTTCTTCTGTGGCTTGGAGAGGATCGGTTTCTTAACCTGGCGATGACTACTGTAGCCCCGTTCTGACACATATCTGTTAACAGTTCTTACAGACACCTCTGAGAGAAGATGTGGGTTCTTTTCTTTCAATTCTTTAGCAGTTATCTTAGGTGTACTCTCTAACTCCTTTAACAGAGTTAAGGTACGAACAGATGTCTTCTTCGAGGGGCCAGGTCGAGGTTTGGTAGACAATAACTCGACACCGCCACCAGCTTTGAAACGCTGCACCCAGTTCCTCACTGAAATCTCACACACACCAACATTCTCCACTATTTCTTTCATCTGGTGCCCAGCTTTGCTAAGCCCTATGATTTGAGCTATAGTTTCAGGGGTTAAAGATTTCCTTTCACCCATAATCAAATATGTATAGCCCCAAAGCCAAAGAGAACACTGGTCGAAAGATGGGATGGATGAGAGACAAAAGTGCAACACTTCTTCTCACCATGGCAGCCACATGAGCACCGACGAGTCACTGTGGAGTGTGGCGGCAGGCCGTGACGTCATGCCAACGGCTGCTACCCGGCATAATGCACTGGTGAAAAAAGAACCCCTTGTATGGTAGGTCTTTGAGTTTCATCACGACATTTTGCCGGGGCGCTCACCCGGCATAATGCCGTGACTAGCACTGTATAATATGCAAAGTCATGGAGAAGCTTATCAGGAAGAGACTGGTGGAGCAACTAAAAAGGAATGAGGTTATACATGATAACCAGCACGGTTTCAGAGAGGGGAAAATCCTGTGTCACAAACCTACTAAAGTTTTACGACAAGGTGACAGAAGTAAGACAGGAACTATTAATGCAAAAGATTGAGGAATAGGCATGAATAACAGGAACGTCACTGCAATGGATCAGATAATACCTCTCAGGAAGGAAACAACGAGTGATGGTACGTGACGAGGAGTCAGAGTAGGTGCCTGTGACGAGAGGGGTTCCACCAGGGTCAGTCCTAGGACCGGTGCTGTTTCTGGTATATGTGATGGCTTGACGGAGAGGAAAGATTCAAGGGTGTCCTTGTTTGCAGACGACGTGAAGCTAATGCAGAGAATTCAAGTGGATGAGGATCAGGTAGAACTACAAAGGGATCTGGACAGGTTGCAAGCCTGGTCCAGCAACTGGCTCCTGGAGATTAACCCCACCAAGTGCAAAGTTATGAAGATTAGGGAAGGTCAAAGAAGACAACAGACAGAGTACAGGCTAGGGGGGCCAAGGATTGCAAACCTCACTCAAGGAAAATGATCTTGGGGTGAGTATAATACCTAGCACATCTCCTGAGGCTCACATCAACTAAATGACTGCTGCAGCATATGGGCGCCTAGCAAACCTAAAAATAGCGTTTCGACACCTTAACAAGGAGGTGTTCAAGATTCTGTACGCCGTGTACATCAGACCCATATTGGAGTATGCAGCACCAGTATGGAACCCACTAGCCTATATATGGAACCCACTGTTCAAGCACGTCGAAAAATTAGAGAAATTCAAAGGTTTGCAACAAGACTAGTCCCGGAGCTAAGAAGTATGTCCTACGAGAAGAGGTTAAGAAAAATATATCTGGCGACACAAGAGCACAGGAGAGATAGGGGAGGGACATGATAACGACATAAAATACTGAGAGGAATTAACAAGGTAGATATTTACAGGATGTTTCTGAGATGGGACACAGCAACAAAGGGTCACAACTGGAAGTTGAAAACTCAGATGAATCACAGGGATGTTTGTAAGTTCTTCAGCCATAAAACTGTCAGGAAGTGGAACAATCTGGAGAGTGATGTAATGGAGGCGGGATCCATACATAGGTTTAAGAAGAGATACGATAAAGCTTATGGAGCAAGAACCAGAGAAAAGGCGGGGCCAGGATCTGTGATTCGACCGCTGCAACCACAGATAGGTAAGAACAAATAGGTAAAAACAGAAACACGAAGGAAACGACGAGTGATGGTGTGTGATTATGTTTCGGAATGGGTGTATGTGACGAGTGGGTTTCAACAAGGATCAGTCCTAGGTCCGGTGCTATTTCTTGTATACGTGAATGACATGAGAAAAGGGATAATCAGAGGTATTCCTGTTCGCAGATGATGTGAAGAAAATGAGGGGAATACAAGCAGACGTTAACCAAAGACAGCTATAAATAGA